AGAAAACATCTAAGGACAGTTGTTATCCTTACCTTTGTGGAACCACAAACAGAAGAAAAATCTCATTATCCTAAGACCAAGACCCAGACCTGGGTCTGAGAAAACTATTTGCTATAATTACATTAAGGTAATATTCTAGACTTGAACAGTGCCAAATCTAAAAAAACCTGAGGCTTAAATATATCTCATTTGTGTTCAAAATTATTTCTGTGAAATCAGTGCTCATCGATATCTTAATACATTTTTTTCTATTCCGCCCAGGGGGCATAGCAGAGATTAGAATAAATTAAGACACTGAAAGGCATACCAAAAATGACAAATATAAGTGCTTTAGAAGGAATAAAAAGGCAGTGAGATTGGATACAGACGAATAAACATGACAAAATACAACGCACAAAGTATGCAAACAGACATCGCCAGAATGAGCTCAGGTACGTGGTGGAACCTGGCCCGACCTGGCCGTGGTTGCACGGCCCACACCACACGCACCCTCCACACTGCGCCGAAAGCCCACGCACCTTCCACCGCTTTGACCTTCTCCTCCAGTTCCCGTTTCCTCTCTTCCTTCAGCATCTGCTCCTGCTCCTTCTTCTGCACAGCCAGAAGAATCTGACGTTCTTCCTCCTCCTCTTTGCGCTTCTGTTTTTCTATTCTGGTAAGCACGGGGGTCTCCTGTGTACCCAGGAGCATACATCAGTACACAGTGAAATCAGTTCTTCCCTCTCAGATTCAATTTACCGAATTCAACATATTCCACAAATACTACTAGATACCTACTGTTAGCTAGAGGATTTATTTCATGACTACAAGTTGATTTTATTATTTGTAGAATATATGTATGGATATATAAAATCATACTAACACAGACACCATTCTTTTAGATTTAATTATTTGATAAACTTGAAAAAAAAAACACCTTCCTCTAAGTACACTAAGGATGAAAGACAGTCGCTGGACAGACCACATACTCCCAATAACAGTAACACACACGATTTTCTTTTCTTTTTTTTTTTTCTGAGACACAGTCTTGCTCTGTTCTCTGGTAGAGTGCCATGACATCAGCCTAGCTCACAGCAACCTCAAACTCACGGGCTCAAGTGATCCTCCTGCATCAGCCTCCTGAGTAGCTGGGACTACAGGTGTGCACCACCATGCCCGGCCCCAATACACATGATTTTGAAACTCTTACCTTTTATACTTTTCATTACCAACAAAATAAATGAAATTGGGGTTTTAGTGTTAAGGGTCACTGTTTTAGCTTAAGATGCAAAGACATAAAGAAGACTATGAGAAATTCATGAAAATTGCACAAAGATTGGCTACCATTTTCCTTTGATTTTCAAGCCAAACAATGTTAGCCAAGATTTCAGGTGGTTGCTGTGAATGTCAATGCCTAAGAAATCTAACAAAAGAAAAGGTAAACAAAGGAAAACAGGACAATTATCATAACAAAGTTTTACAATGCACACTTTCCAGTAAAACTAGTTCTGAGCCATGCTGTAGCCCAGGACACTGAAGCTGCTTATTTTTAATTTCTTCCCTTAACTTTTGTGCTGATGTGAAAGCTAGAACTTCTCTCTTTTTTAAGTGTTACTGAGAGGTAACAACTGTTGTTTGCAATAAACAACATCCATAAGTTGCAGAGAGACAGAAAAATGAATCAGGTGTCAACAGGGAGAATTCACATTACCCTCACAGAAAAGATACTCACTGTCTGTTTCAGGTGAAACCTAACAGGAATGTGAAGCTTTAACAGACCTTTTCAACAGGGAGAAGACCTAAGAAATTTCTATATCAGAAAAATTTTCCAAGGTTTTATACTGTGTAAGTTGTAAAAGTGGTCTTAATGTGGGGGGAGGGGGGAAGATGAATGCAGATTACCATTTACACAAGTTACCATTAAACACTGAAACTGCTTTTGATTAAAATTTTGTATTATTTTCTTTACAGTTCTTAAAACCAGTTTAGATTCTCATTTGACTCAGAATTTAGACATGTGTCTTGTCTAGATAGTAGACTTTACAATGTCATTTTTGCTCAATTACTCAAATTCTATGAGCATGACTTTAATTAAGAGTTAACAAGGTAAACATCTGGAACGACCAGGAGGAGAGATGAAAATAGAGCGTTAGCCATTGTTAATTGAACATGTAACAGTGTACTTGTAAGGAGCCTCAGTAGAACAAACAGAATTCAATCCAGTTCCCTAAAATCTTCTTCGTCATCTAACCAGAGCGGGCACTTAGAATACGGCAGGTGCCGATTCTGAAACGGGCCTGCGATGGACACCTGGCGAGGACAGTGCTTGCAAGGGCTGCAACTCCGGCCACGGGCTCCTAAGCAAACGCCAGTCCAACCCCTGCCCCCACCCCACTTCCCAAGTCCTTAATTATTCCAACTCTTTGGCAACATCTTTATCCAGCTGACAACATATGAGGAAACTACAGTTAACAAACCAATCAACCAAAGTAAAAAAAAAAACAACTTGCCTTTGCTTTCAGTTGTACATCGACTCAAAAACAAACAAAAACAAAAAACCCACATCAACTGATTAACAAGAGCAGAGGAAAGGGAACAGATATGAGGAAAACAGCCTTGTCAAAGGAAATATTTTATTCAAAGAAAACAGCGATTTCTATATGTCAGACACAAAAATGAGAGGAAAAAACAGGCATATATAACAAATGTAAGTTATTTAAATAACTTCATGTACATGTATTCTGCCCCTCCCACAGAGAACAGCTGGTGCAAATATGTGAAATATTTTCCCTTCAATCAGTACAAGAGTATATTAAATAGGATCAGCATCTTAATGAGGACTGAGGAAATGCAAGCCAATTACTTATGAAATGAAGTATTAAGTCACTGAAGACTTGATTATCTAAGTGGACAAACATGGGAGGTATTTCACGTGTTAAGTCAATGAAAGGGGGAATGGAAAAAAGCCAATTACATAAATCTTATTAATATCCATTTAACTTTTTTATAACAAATATGAAAATGATTTGTTATTTTTAACATGTAGAGAGAAACTACAAATCAATAGTGCTCCCCAACAAACGGAACATGAATGTGAAATTCACAGAAGATACATGAAACATGTATGTCACAGAATGTTCAATATGATCCCATAGAGAAAAAGCCTAAAGCAAATCCACGAAAATGTAAATAGTAATGATTCCTGCCCTGTGGCATCTCCATGTCTTCTACAGTTTCTAAATGCAGTCTCCAAGTTTTCTATAACAACGTAAATTCTTTTGGACTCGGAACAATCCCTTCCCAAAGAGACTGGGGAATCAACTAGCATTACATGTTCTCAAGTAATCTAATTTTTATTAACTTTTTTCTCCCTCCACTATTTGATCCCTGTTAAAAGTCATATTCAAGTACCAAAAGGTTAGAACTTGTGCATTTAAAGCAATTTTTTAAAAAAATTTATTTAGAGACACGGTTTTTCTTGCTTTGTCACCCAGGCAGGCATGCAGTGGTATGATCATGGCTCACTGCAGACTTCAATTCCCGAGTTCAAGTGATCATCCTGCCTCAGCCTCTGGAGTAGCTAGGACTACAGGCACGCACCACAATGTCTGCTAATTTTTTAAATTTTTTGGTAGGGACGGAGGTGGCGGGGTAGGAGGTGGCAGTGGCCTAGGAAGTGGGGAATCTTGCTATGCTGCCCAGGCTGATCTTGAACTCCTGCCCTCAAGCCATCCGCCTACCTCAGCCTCCCAAACCGCTCAGATTATAGGTGTCAGCTACTGCACCCGTCCAGCCTGTTTTCAAATTTCTGTGCTAATTTTCAACACTCTGATACCACAAGGTAAAGCAGGTGCTAATGACAATACCACTAAAGGACAGGACTCACTATGTCCTAAGTAAGGATACTTTTGGTAGGTCTTAACCATTGAAGAGTCAGCACAACCAAATGAATGATAATCAAATAAATCCTAAATAGTTAGAAAAAGAATATTTTACTTTCTTACATTGCAATTTTTTTCTTTAAAACAGGGTGAGCTGCGAATGGCATAAGGGTTGGTGTCTAAAGGCTTTACAGATAAGAGGCCTGCTAGAATCAGGGGGCATTTTCATGAGAAGCCAATTAGAAACGCCATTTAGAAATCCACTCAAGGATTATTCACAAAATCTCTGTTCTACACAGTGCTTAGGACTCCCCTTACGTGCACCCCTGACCCAAGGGCAGGTTATCAGACTCGTGGGCACTCTCACCAACTTCAGCAGCACTCTCAAGACCATACCACCACAAACAGCTCCCTAACAATGCTAACTGCAAAGTCTCCGACAAAAATAACCACTACACCCCTAATCCTACCACGGAGCTCAGTGAGACTCCCTTCTCTGATACTTCCCGCATAAGTCACAATGAAAATACAGTAAGACTGAACTCCGGGGTGACCAACATAGGCCAGAAACCCTGAAAACATGCTTTAAAGGCCTGAAGATTTTTGCTGATGAAACAAAAGCACAAAACTCATGTCCCCACCAAGGTTTTCTCCAGGATATCTGATACCACAACAGATACTTAAAAATCTCTATAATGCCATGGTTTCTTGTATCTCAAACTAAAGAGCAGAATAACAAAAAACAAACAAAAAAACACTGTCAAGCATAAAAGAAGAAATTTTAGTGTTTTTTTTTTTTGAGACAGTCTCACTCTTTTGCCTGGGATAGAGTGAGTGCCGTGGCGTCATCCTAGCTCACAGCAACCTCAAACTCCTGGGCTCAAGCAATCCTTCTGCCTCAGCCTCCCGAGTAGCTGGGACTACAGGCATGCACCACCATGCCTGGCCAACTTTTTCTATATATTTTTAGTTGTCCGATTAATTTCTTTCTATTTTTAGTAGAGACGGGGTCTCGCTCTTGCTCAGGCTGGTTTCAAACTCCTGAGCTCAAACAATCCGCCCGCCTCGGCCTCCCAGAGACCTAGGATTACAGGCGTGAGCCACCGCGCCCGGCCGAAATTTTACTGTTTGATGCTAAACTTTTGCTTGCAGCAATGAAGAACCTCACAGCCCGTTCTTATTACTATGCAATCTGAAGTGCAAATAGGGCATCTAGGGGCTTGAAAAGAAAATAGGGAAGGGAGCTTCCCTGCAGGTGTTAGCAGTTAAGGTAATAAAGGCAGTGGAAAGAACCCAACAAGGCCAGGAGCTAGAAAACCACTGGGGGGAAGGGGAGGGGGACGGGAAGGCTAAATCAAAGTGTAATGACGTGAATAAAAATTTAACAGCCCAGCCAAAGACACAGTCTAAAGTAAAACTACTGTCTCCTAAGGTAAAACTTTCCACGACCACTGAACTGTTTAAATATTCAATAAAACATAGTGCTCAAAGGAGATAAATGGTTAAAAACTAGAGAATATGAGAACTGGCCAGCACTAAGTCTGACTGAGAGAACCCAGTTAGAACAATGGAGAAAAGCCTTCTGTGGTTAAAAAACAGCAGGTGGAGGTAGTTGAGGTGTCCGCAGTGTGCTTTCAGGACTTTCTGCGAACAAGGAGGGCGGACTTTCAACACTTCTACTTTGCTGCTGCTTCCTTAGTCCTGGCTTCTTCCTTTATTTCACTCTCCTTTTTGTCTCCATGATCAAACATATCCTTACAAGCAATCTAGGTTTCTTGTGACGCATCTCTCTCTCACCTTGTTTATTTTAAA